CGAGATAGCTCTGAACGTATGGCGGCACAGCAACCAGAGCCAGTCGCATCTGCGTCTGCTTCACATGAACGTTCGTCCCAACACAAAATGGATGCTCATGTCACCCAATTGAACCCTCGCAAATTGCAGGCTCTTAGACGCAGTGACTCCGATGCCGAAAAAATAGCTGTCCTAATTGATCCCACCTTGTCGAGGTTTAATCGCTATCTACATCCACGGGAAATAATATCCCAGCTGAGAAAACGACAAGAATTTAAGTTTAGCACTAACAGGTCTGCAATGTCGGCCATTTATGAGGCATTTGCAAGCATTTTTCTCATCCAGGTGAGCATTAAATCATTTTTTAATATTTACCTCTGCCAGATAAGCTATAGAAATTCCGCTTGGTCTTGATTAGCTTAATCATATTAATGTGCTAAACTAGGATAAAATAGGACAGAGAAGAAAGCAGAGTGTATCAAAAGCTCAGAATTTTTATCAGCATTGCTACGCTACTTTTAAAGGCCCTTCTGGTTTAATAGACACAAATCGACTTTTTACTTTTATAATTATTCTTTAGTTCCAGCTTACTACTCTTGGTATTAAGAGTATTTGTTTTTTTCAATAACTGTATTTTTTATTAAATGGTCTGACCATTTAACTTGTTTTTGTTATTACAAAATTGACATTAAATTGGCAAAAAAGCATCCTCATAGTTAATATGATGGGGAAAGATTCGCTTTATCCCCTATCATATTTTACAGTAGGATACCAATTTTATAAGTTGGACAAAATTAATGGCCTGTTTCCCATCTATTCTCATGCATTACTGACGAGTTTGGATGCTGTAGAATTTTCGAGAGATCTACCTGAATCAAAGAAATCCTGCTAGACTCGCAATAATATTTAGCACCAGCTACTGATTAATTTTAAGTAGTAATGTAATATTTTGGAATGCCGTTGGGGTAACTATATGGTATCGTATGTAATCTATGTACATCTATGTTATTGTAGAAACTTAATTTCCTACTAATATGATTGTACTGACTGAGAGTCATAGGTAAAAAAATGAATCTTTTATTTACACTGGATGAGATAAGCTATTTGAAGCAAGGCTAAATGAGATTCAATTTCATCGTAAAGCATAATTCAGCTTTATCTTAACCAACCTAGGGCGAACAATTTCTTATTTAAATATTACTGGTAATCTCGAAAGCCACCCATATTGAAACAAATAAAAATCTTATGTTTTCCCATTATTAGATCCAAGAAAGTTCAGGTTTCATCCGATCACGAATGATGAAAGAGAATTTGTGAATGTAATTTGGCATTTTCTTTCGAGAGGCTATTCTTATCCAGGCTGGATTACTATTCTCAACCTCGGCCAGGTTTTAGCAAAATTTTAATGATGGGTGGGGTTAAGAGAGAGACACGCTCTAAATGGCACAGCCTAGTGGGGACTTCTGAATAATAAATTTTCTTTTATGTCGTTTAATACTCACCTACTCCACGATCTCAACTATCCAGCCTGCTATTTCTAGTACCTTGGCAAAATATTGAATAGTGGGAGTGATATTCGACAAATTTCTCAGATTTTATTTCTTATACTTGAAGCTAAATAGCATTTATCATATAAGTAATACATATGATTATTAAAAAATTCAGATAAGTCTTTATTTTAAGTTTCAAAATGAGGCAGAATGGAAGCTTTCATAAACTTGATTCGCAGTCTCCTTTGGTTTTATAAAAGTGGTTTGACCTAGTTTTTGCAACTTGGTCGTATTGTCAAAGAGACCTAATTGACCTTCTGTTATAGTATCGATGATAATTTCCAGCATCGAACCATTGATTTGGTACATTCACACACAATTCGCCGGTATCACAGTCGGAGTCGTGAGTAAGCTTTGCCATTTTTGGCACCAAACTTCAGAATGTCTCTTATAACAAAGACTTGAGATGATAAATTTTCATCAAAGTGCCTCTGTAAATACGATCAAAATGGGAAATAAAATCACTTTTAACTTTCTTTAAGCCTACTAATTTAAATTATATTAATTCATGTCAAATGGTCAAATTGCTTAACAGTGTTTATTGTCTAAATTTAAATATCTAAAAACCTGGCAATATTATTTTCATAGACATGTTATGAATGAAGACAATTGAGCTGATGACTTTAGATATGAGGTTATCTCCACTATTGCTTCCAACAAGAGGTTTCCAAACATACTAGGAAGTGTTAATCTAATTTTTAGTAATTTCATACTTTATCGTCAAAATGTTCATCTATTTTCATTTCATAATTTTCCAAAAAGAGTATTATTAAAGTGCACAGGATAGAGATCTTTGGTCATTTATTGGCAAAAATTACCGAATATCGTAACATGCGATATGGTCAAAAACACTTTCATCACCATCAGTCGTTAGTACCAACTTGCAATTTTACCAGTCTGCTACTAATTACCTACACTGGCAATATTATTGTTCAATCGAGCAGCACCCTTTACACCTTTTTGGACTTGGCCGAATTCTCTACTTGGCCATTTGGTTAGGCGGCTCCTTTTTGATCGCTGCATTCGCCGCAAACCTTCTGCCGGTCTATGAGTTGCCAGAGGCCTATATTCGTGCAGCGAACAATCCATCAGAGCTGTTTGAGGCCGTCAAAGCTGGAAAGAACTACACCTGGTTTCTGCTCGGAGACGGCCTTGCAGTGGAAAAGATCAAGGTTTGCCAGACCGCATTTGATATTGCAGGAAATGACCAAGTTAATTTTACAATTGTGAATAGTTACAACATACAAAACAACCTCGCCTCGAATAAACTTCAATAGTTTGTATAAGTAGAAAAGAATTATAATTATGCCGTTAGATGCTACTCATAAATGCTTATCATTTTTAAAACATATTTCTAGATTTTTATTGTTACTAGCTTACATTTTTATCATAAAACCAATATACATCATGTGGACTTGTGACATGCTTTGCTGATAATTAGATTTAAGCGAGGACTTCTGTAAATTAAAAATAATGTGGGATAAGTTTTGTGAAAGAGATTTCGAGGAGCTAAGAAACCTAATATTTTGTTATACGATACAGT